TTTTATCACTTAGAAGGATGTTTGTGATTGAATAGATGTCGAGTCCAACATTTTTTTGTCGAGTTGGCTCTCTCTGATGCCGAATCAAACTCATGGCTTCTTCCCTCGTGTTGAAGAATGATGCGAGATGATTTATGAATATGGCTTTTGATACTGTTATCTTCTAGACTTTGATTTTGTGATGATTCTCTCTCATGATGGGTCGAATTTTTTGATTCGAGATATCAAGAGTAAATATAACTTGATAAGTTGTTCAAGCGTCCCCTTTACCGGGGTGAGATCATTGTTTTGTTGTTGTCGAGCTGTTTGGCAATTACTTTGTTTGACAGACGAGCTTATGTTAACAAGTCAGAGTGAAAAACTTTTGGAATGTTTGTTTAAAACATGTCATTAGCTCAGCGTTTTATATCTAAGATAAGAGATAAGCTATGAGTTGAATTCCACCGTGGTTTACAGAGATGTTTCCTTTAAAAAAATACGTTCTGATGTCGAATACTTGATTGTTAAGGCTGACAAGCCGTTGATAAGCTTCACGAACCCACTACTGCACGTTTGCTAGTTTAGTTGAGGTTGATGAGACATTGCTGAGTTTTGTATGTACATTCTGGTTTATAAGCCTGTTCCCGTGAACAAGCTCGCTCCGGTAATAACACTCAAGAGTTGTGGATTTTTTTACCAGCGAGCCGTGTGCTAGTTTACGAATGTGTTCCCGTGAACAAGTCCGACAGCAATGAACATAGAATTTCGACCAGCGAGCCGTGTGCTAGATTTTTGAGATGAAGATTCTAGTTTACGAATATGTTCCCCTGAACAAGTCCGCTCCAACAATGAACATATGATTTCGACCAGCGAGCATGTGCTGAGTTTTTAAGATGAACATTCTGGTTTACGAATATGTTTCCGTGAACAAGTCCGCTCCAGCAATGAACATATGATCCACTGGAGATGTAGAGTTCGTTACTGTGGCCAACAGCAACGAGATAACAAAGAGAAGAAGTCTAATCAGGAAAGACTTTAATAATCCACAAAGGATGTTTTAGATAGATAGTCTGTTTCGTTAAGACTTGAATAATCCACGAAGGATGTTTAGCGAAGTCGTCTGTTTTGTTAAGACTTGGTGGACCAAAAAATTCTCCTTGATTATTGGTAAAATTTTC